CATCCTGCCACCTGTTGGCAGCTCAGCGGCAGCTCAGCTCGGGCCGGACTTGAACTGCTGTTGCTGAGCTCAAACCCTTGAGCGAGCTCTTAACCAACTGATCCACTGGGCCGACCCAACAATAGCTTTAATAATACAAAAGATGATACATGGCATAGTTCAGTCAATACACTTCATTTAAGTTTCCTGTGATTTACCATTCTCTGTGTTGTTTTTTTTACATACCTGTTACTATCACAAGGGAGCAGTATTCACATCAACCACAACTGAATATAAAAAGACCGGTCAGCATCCAGATTAAGTTCCCATGGTACAGATATTTTTTTTGCAGTTGTTGATTTTACAGTACATGATTTTACATTTACCCAGTAATTATAATTCATGAAGTGTCGTTTTACCTCCAGTACTGCTGCTTTTAACACAGCAGCTGCTTTCTACACAGTAGTTGCTCTCTACACGTGTGACTGGTCCGCATAAGTACATTATGGCACCAACCCTGTCACATACACCTGTATTTGTACGGGGTGTATGTGATGGGGTAGGCGCGATGATGTCATCACGCCGGGTACTCGTATGTGGGTGTATCTGCATGTGGGCGGGCCTGCCTGGAGACGGATAGAGGAGCGGTGTCTTGGTTCCTAAAACCATTGAAAATATGTGTTTTCCAATGGTCTTAGGCGACCCCTGTGAAAGGGTTGACCCCCAAAGAGGTCGCAACCCACAGGTTGAGAACCGCTGGAATAGACTGTCTTTACCCCACTATATGTTCTTGCCTCCTTTGTTGATTGACCACATAGGCGTGGGTTTATTTCGGGGCCCTCTATTCTGTTCCATGGTCTGTGTCCGTTTTTATGCCCATTCCATGCTGTTGTGATCCCTAGATTTGTTGTAGTCTGAAATCAGGGGCTGTGATACCTACAGCTTTGTTCTTTCTCAAGATTGCTGTGGCTATTTAGGGTCTTTTGTGGCTCCAGGCAGATTGTTTTCTACAGATGCTCTTCTACATTTGTCCCCATTGAAAAGTGGGATCTATGTCCCATCCCTTGAATCTGTAACCAGATGCTTGTAACCAGTACAGTGGGAAATGATCCTGCATGTTTTCCAAAGCTGGGTTTGCATTTTGCTCACTGCAGCACTTGCACCTGGAATCCTGAGATGCTGTGTAAGAAGTCCGACAACCCTGAGGCCACCTTACTTGAGGAAGCCAAGCCACATGGCGAGGTCACATGTAGCCACTCAGGTTAAAAGCTGTAGCTGATCCCCCTGCCAACAGTGCTACATCACCTGCCAGCTAAGTGAGCGAGCTGTCCTGGATGTCCAGCCTAGTCAAGCTTTCAGATGCCCAGCTGAACCTTCCCCAACTAAAGCTGCTATGTTTATGGTAGTTTGTGACGCAGCAGTGAGTATGGAGATAAAGCACTACCCAAGTGCCCAGTACAGTAAACTGGGTGGGGATGAGAAGAGCAACACATCCAGCGTGTTGAGAAACTTGAGAACACCAGGGATAGAGGTGACCTTAGAAACTTGCAGCAATAAAAAACCAACACAGAGGAATGATTTCCAATCTAAAACTATTTCCATTCAAACAATGAAAGAAATATAAGGGCAGATATAAAGACATTTCAGATGGGCAAGCTCAGAAGGGGGCTAGAAGATGAGCTCCATCAAAATGAGAAAGCAAACCACAGAGAAGGGAAAGGGGACTGGGACTCTAGGGAACAGCCAAGCCTTGGCAAAGGTGGGGCTTTCCAGGTCTTCTCCGAGAGAAAGTGGAGCTAGCACGTTACCTGATGCGTGGAGAGTTCCAGGTGTAGTGAGAGGAACACAGAAAACCGAGCAAATGAAGAAACAAGGCAAGTGACTCAAGGAAAACAAAATTGCACCAAGAAGAGATGTAACCATAAACCAATACAGGGCTCGTATTGGACTTCGGCCAACATTACACTTTTGGGAGAGGAAATGGAGCCATGTAAGTGTGGGTGATACACGTTGCTGAGAGCTAACTCCTCTTCCATTGGGAAATCAAGAGATAATTAAGCAATAGCACTGTTTGAAAGTCTTTATTGATAAGCACAAAGTTGATCACTGACGAAAACCCAAGAAGAGTTGAACAGTGTTTGTTCTGGGAAGTGGGGATTGGTTGGTGGATTTGGTAGGGATGGGGGCGGGTGAGGGAGGAAGTTTTTTTCTTTGCTTGTTTTCTCAGTGAAATCCAAAGCAAGGCCTACATCTAAGGATGCTGGAGGTCTGGAGAATGAGAAGGCATGAAACAGTCTTCTCGCAGACTAGGGGACGGAGGGTTACAGTCCAGGGAGATGCTGGGAGCCTGCCTGACACTGGTGGTCATACTCAGCACCCCGTCTGAGCGCCTCTTCCCGTATGTGGCTTTCCGCACACCGACTGCTAGCAAACTCAGGACTGTCCCCTCCCCCTTCACCTGGACAGCTGCAGCACCCCCTTTAGGATTCCTGCCTTGTGTTGCTGGCCTTCCCCATTAGCCATTTTTAAAGGAAAATGTGACCAAGTCATTTCTCTGGCTAATATCCTCTGACAGTGGATTCCCACAGCATTCAGAATAAGGCGTCAAGGGTGTCCGGTCAGGCATGTCCCTCACTTGGCACCTGTGGGCTTTCATCCATCCTCAGGTACTCTCCCCAGCCCCCCCCACACACACACACACACATCCCCCTCCCTGCACTCACTCCTCTCCAGGAATTGTGCTCTTACCTCACCCTGGCCCCTCATCCCCCGCTTTCAGTCCAGGTGCATGCCTGTGCCCACGTGCAGAGCTGTGCATGCAGTGGGCTCTCACATGAGCTGGCAGGGCCTGCTGGGCAGGGCCCCTGTGCCTCAGGCATCCCTGCAGTGCTGATCTCTGGCACATCTGGGGCTGCAACCTCGCCGAGACAATGAATGACAACTTGTTAACACACAGAGATGCAAGCCGCAAGCTTCCTCAGAGCACGTTGGTGGATGACAGTCTGAGGAGACCATGAAAACAGATGATCAAAGACACACGTAGAAGTGAAATGGTTATCTATGTGACCAGTAGTCACATTTCCAACAGTGCATCAAGCATCGGAATAGCAGTCCCCTGCCGGGTCCACAGTTCATATGTCCACCATGTCCAGCAGCACCGAGAGATGGAGCTCAGAGGCCACCTCCTCTTCCCTTGATGTCTGGATCAGCCTTTCCAGGTGCCGCAGCCGTTCACTCAGAGATGGGCCTGTTGCCTCTGACAACTGCAGTTGGTCCCTTCTCTTTTCATTCTATGAATGAAAAAGAAACTAAAAATAGCTTCGGGATGTCCATAAACCAACATATATTCTCTCTGAAGGCACCAGACTGGCTTGTGAGAAATCTCATCGGGGGCGTGCTGGGCCCGACAGGGCCCCTCCTGGCATCTCAGACGCCCTTCCAACACCTTCCAGCACATACCCAGCTGGGGCCATCTACACATGGGATGTCTCTTCTCTGGTTCTATTATGACAACTTCCAGTGGCGGTCATTTCTATACATTATCGCTGTCAGAGGCTTCGAGCAATTCCATCGCATGTACTGGAACTGCTTAACCAGACTCGCACCTTTGGATATGCAGCTCGTTTCCATTTTTATGCAGTATAACTAATACTACAGTGAATTAAAATGCATTAATTTTTGTCACATACAGTAATTTGTTTAGGGCAGAATTGTTAAGTTAAAGGGTACGATTATTTTTAAGGCATTTGCCCAACTGATAAATGGAAACAGCATGCCATCTGAATTTGCTTTTCTCCCCTACTGAAGGGCTTCCTAATGCCAGTCCAGCATTCAATATCTGTGATAAAACTCTGGTTTGGCTTCTTCTACCACTGAAGGAAGGATGGTGAGGTAGAAAGACCTTGAGCTTTGCAGCACATCAGGTCTAAAAAGCAGCACTCCACACACCAGCTGGACCCACATGGGTGAGGCCCTTGACTCCTGTGAGCTGACCCTCCCCAGGGAAAGGGCACCCCAGAAAGGGAGGTGTGGCTGATGCCACGGCTCCGTACACAGCAGGCACGGCCATCACCGGCTTCCCACCTCCAGCCGCAGGTACGGACAGGAGCACACTGAGAAGTTACACACATTTCAGTCCCCTTCCTCCTTCATTCCACAAGCAGAAACCCAGAAGCTGGCCTTCTGTAACACTGACAGTTAAATCTAACAGAAGATCTACTGTTAGTAATTTCTTGGTCATAACATCACACAATGAACCAAGACGTTCCTTTTCCCCAGCCACTCTGTCTGTAATCAGGTGCCCTCACCTGCGGGCCGAGAGCTGCAAGGGTCTTCCTCGCAGAAGCGAGAGTCTGGGGCACAGACACCAGAGTCTGAGGCAGGTAGAGGGGGAGGGAAGGTGTGTCTGCATGCAGTCCCGTGTCTTCAGACAACCACTGCTGCAGCTGACAGTCAAACCTGAAACAGCAGAGCATCAGCACCATCAGTCACGTCTCTCCGGAGACACCTGGAACTGTTTAAAGCTTTGCTTTCTACTAAGGAGCGAGTTATGCCGTCAGCTGAGGAGCAGAACTGTCCTTTCAGAAGTGCAGTATCTTCTCTGATTTTAAACCTAACTTACACTTCACGAGGAAGGTGGCATTTACCCAAAACAACTGCTTTGACCTGAACACTTAACACTACCTGTCGTTCTCTCCTTTGCTTCATTTCTCTGGCTTATTTCTGATTTTAGTGTCGAGAGTGAGTTCTTATCTCTTATTAGATCCCCCAGAGGTATGTTTTGCTGCTTAATAGTTTAAAATTAACTCCAAATAATATCCCACTGCCACCTAACACACCCTAGAGCTATACTCTCCACACAATTGTCTTTTCAAGAAAAACAATCGATTCAAACTGCTTAAATGGGACAGACCTAGGAAAATCTGCTTTTAGAAACCGGGACTCGGGCACTTGCTCTTCCGGCAGATTTCTGAAGCCCCCACCACACACCAGGCACCATCCCGGGTACCAGGGGCACAGCACTGCAAGGACAGACAAGCCTCGGGCCCAAGCAGCTCACATGTCAGCGAGGGAGTGGACCAGGGCAAGGTGGCCGAGGAGGAGGACAGAGTGGAGATGGGCAGAGGGCCTCGCTGAGCACACACTGGAGCAGCGGGGTGAGCCTGGGACATGGGTGGCTGGGGAGCCCCGGGCCAAAGGAACCGCTAACGCACAGGCCCAGCATGTTGAAGGAGCAGAGGTGAGAAAGGGAATGGGGTCGTGTAGGGCCTTGGATTCTGGGTGGGGAGGGAGCCGCCGGAAGGCTGTGAGCCTCACACTTGAGAGGCTCTCGGTCTGCAGAGCCACCTGCGGCCTGCTGCAGAAATGGCCGATTCTGGACATATTCTGAGGCGAGCCCAGGGGATCTGTGGATGGACTGGATATGGAGGGCTGATTCCCAGGCACTGGCCTGGTCTGCCTTCCAGGACTGCTATGGGCAGGGCTGGCTGGGGGACAGTCAGGGATGGGGCTGGGATGTTAGCTTGGAGACGGGAGGCAAGGAAGCAGTGGGCTATTCAAGTCCGGAGTCCAGAGAAGAGCCCAGGGTTTGACATACATACTTGGGGTTGTTGGAATATTGGTGTTATTTAAAAATCCATGAAACTGCATGAAATCACTGGGAAGTAAGAAGTGGGCACAGATGTCACAGGAGAGGTCCAGAGTGGGGGGAACTGGGGGAAGAGGAAGAACCAGCAGAGGTGGCCGAGGGGCGTGGCCAGTGGGGCAGGAGAGGGACTAAGGGCACAGGTGTGGTCATGGCTGGGGACGGGGTTCCTGGTCGGTCAGCTGTGCACAGGCTGCAGTGATCCTACCCAGAGCGGACACAGCAGACAGAGGGGCTGCAGGAGAGGCTGGAGCCGGGAGAATCACTGGTGTGAGGTTGCAGTAAAGGGGTGACTGCAGAGGGGAACCGCCACGACAGGGACAAGTGCCAGGAGACCAGCTGTCCAGCATGAAGCGGCCAACCAGACACCATGAGGCGAAGGAACAGACTTCACCTCTTGCTGTCCTCTCGCTCCAGCAGCAGCCGGCTGGACAGACGCTGGGCCAGGAGCTCCTGGGCAGAGGCCCCGCACATCAGCTGCTCCGTGCTGGGCACCCGCCCCTCTGGGCCTCGCTCCGCACTCCTCTTCCCTCTGTGGTGCCCACGAAGCAACGGCGGAGTGGGAAACTTGCCGGCAGAAGGATGCGAAGGCTTCATCCCCAAGCTGGAAGTACACGTTTTGAAACGCTTATGGTCAGGACATGGGAGGAGGGGCTCCTGGCCACCGCGCGAGTGTGGGTGCAGGGCTGAGGGCCAGCGCCTCGGCCTCCAGGGACTCCCTACCCAGGTGCTGCTGCCCCCCTGCTGCTAGTCCATGGCTGTCAGCAGCTTCTGTATCGCCCCCTCCTGTTAGCAAGGCTGCTACGTAGCTGTTAAGTCCAACTGGAACTAATGTGTACAGTGGGAGATGGAGCTGGTGCTGGTCTGCCCTCTCCCACTCGGCGCTCTAATTTGGCACGGTCCTTGTGTCACATGTGGTTCTGTGCTGGACTCTCTATTCTGGCCCATTCGCCCACTGTCACTTTACTATTGTGTTGTGCTGTTAGGCAGAGCCCTTCCTCGTTGTTCTTACTCAAAATGCTCTCAGCAATTGCTTCATACTTTTCTCATCCTGATGAGATTTAGAATTAACCTGTTGAACCATGGGGAAAATCCTGTTGTGTTTTTATGAGAAATGCCCTGACTGTACTGTCAGAACTGACATGGTTAGAGCACTGCGTCCTCCCATCAGGGCGGCCCGGCCCTCACTTGGTCAAGTTTTCTTTGCGCCTCAGCGCCCTCGAGTCCCCCACAGGGCTGGTGCCCCTCCTGGTCAGTTCCGGTCCTGGCAGTTGAGAGCTTCTGCACCTTGGCGTTGGCTCTGCCTGATCACATTTCTAGACTTTGCTGATTATCTTGAACTGACAGTCTTACTGTCTAGAAATGATGATTTCTCCTTCCTTTTTATGCTTACGCAGCTGTGTCTGTTTCCATGCACTGGGCAGGGTTTCCAGGACAACAGTGAACAGCAGGATATCAGGGGCAGCGCAGCCTGGTTCTGACTTCAGTGTTTCTAACATTTTACCAAGAAGCATGATTTTTTTTTTTTGGCAGTTTTATGATAGATAGCCTTATCAAGTTAAGGTATTGTTTTTACCCAAGTTTGGTAAGAAATTTTATCAGGAATGGGCATAAATTTTAAGAACAGCATTGCAACACCTACTAAATAACAACGTATTTTTCTGTTACAGCACCGATTATACACACAGGTGTCTACTGTCTGCAGTTGTTCACCTGGGATAAAGCCTCTTATGAATTTTTTTTTGTACTCAAGATTGCATGTGCCAACATTTCATTCAGTATTTTTTAACCAGGTTTGTCAGTGAGAGGGGATGTCAGCTCTCTGTGTCTGTGCTCTCTGGTTATGCTATGATTTTAGGGTGAAGGTCACCTGATGCATGAAGGGACATGCCTGCTTTTCTCTGCTCAGGAGGTTTGTGCTACGTGGGAATGATCGTCCCTCGAGTATTTGTCAGAACCTGCCCACAGTGGGCTGGGCTCTGAGCACAGGACAGGAATCTATCTGTGTGCTTTGGAAGAGAACACCACGGGCTGTCCTCGTGGGTGGGTGTGGAGACAACAGAAACTCACATCAGCACAGATCTTACCAGCCTTGACTCAGCTGGAGCTGCTTCTGTGTCTGCATTCTGGCTTGTTCCCACGATAAAGGAACAGCATAGTTTTTCAAATGTTCTTTAAAAAAATATACACATATCTGGCCATCTTCACTCAGTGCCTCTGAAAAAAACAATACCAAAAAAAAAAAGAGAAACTAATATCACAAGAGCAACAGGTGACCACTTGACATTTGCTTAAACTCCCTGATTTAATGACAAGCCCTTCGTACTGAAGTCACACATTATGTCACTCCTATTGGAGCCAAATGTGCTGCCGGCGCCCGTGAGCCCTTCCAGGTCCAGAGGCTCAGGCCCAGCCCCCAGACTGCCAGGCAGCAGGCTGCCCAGAGCTGCAGGCTTCCCTCTGACTTAGAGCCAGCCCAGGGGGAATACAGGCTCCCTTAGATCCGTCTTAGTTCTCCCCAACGTTTACAAGTCACCTGGAAGTCACTGGCTTGAAAAGGGAGCCTAAGGAAAGGGAGGACGGTGACCCACAGGAAAGAACAAACCCCCGAGTAAACATCTCTCTTCGCTGAACTGGACCGGTGAAGTCTCCCAGGGAGGCAGCCCCAAAGCACTAAGCAATCACTACCTGACGTGACGGGGAGCCTGGGGGGTGTCCAGTCCCTCAGCCTGTGGTGGACACACAAGGCGATGATGTCGTCCCACGGGATTTCAGCGACCGAGGGCCCAGCCCCGCAGCCCAGGGCAGGGCTCTTGCTCTTCCACCTGCCATAGGCTCTTCCGAGCAGATGCTGCACCTGGCACTGGAGGACGGGCTGCGTCTGGCGGCTGCTGGGGATCTGGGAGGCGTACTGGGTGACCATGGAGCACACGGGACGCCAGGGAGCTGGAGTGGAGAGAAAGCACCTCGTGAGCTGCAGGGCTTGACCAACGTACACATGGACACGTCCACGAAACAGTCTTCACTCTGTGTTAATGTAAAGGGTGACTGTGGAGCTGAGAAGTCTGCTCTGAAACCCAAGTGAATGGACCCACAGCTGCTGAGGAAGGAACCACCCTCCCTGTGTCCTGCTAAGGGGGCGCAGCCTCTCCGAACCTGCCTGTACAGGCCCAGCGCCCAGGGCAGGCGGGACATGAGCTCTCGGCCCCCCTGGGGAGCCCGACAAGCCTGCGCAGGGGGGGCGGGGTGTGTGTGTGCATGCTGCTTCCCTCTGGGCCCCTCAGTGATGCGCCGGGGTCAGAAACTCAGACGGGCGCCTGAGGCCTCTGTTCCCTGCGGCCCAAAGGACAGTGGCCCTGCCAGAGCCGTGTGCTGTGCCACCTCAGCAGCCAACGGCCTCCTTCCCTCCTCACGGTGTAAGGGGAGGGGCGGCCTCCACGCCCAGCCCTGGGCCTGGGAGTCTGCACCAGAACAGCCCAGACGCTTCAGGAGGCACAGCCGGCCACCACACAAGAGGTTCTCTGACTAGGAGCGCCGCGTGCTGCAGCCCCCTAGAGCCAGCAGCATGGGGACAGGACTGCCGATCTCCACACCCCATGGTGCAGGCAGGACAGGACCTGCTGTCCATTCAGAAACTCCAGGCCTTGGGGCCAGGGCTGCCCCAGCACCGCTGCCATCTTCCTCTGGGGGCTGTGTGGACACCCAGGCTGCTGTCAGTGGTGAAGGACCAACAGCTGTCCCTCCACCAAAACCCGGGTCATTCTGACTCCAAAGCCCAAAGGCAGGTGCGGTGTGGGGACGGGGCAGAGTGGCAGGCGTCAGACCCTCCCACCGGCGCACGACACCTGCCAGCCTGTCACTACAGTGAGGAGGAGATGGGGACCCCTGCCCCTCGCCCCCGCCTCAGCACCAGCACGCACCCCCCGGGGGTGGCTGGTCCATCTGTGGGAGCTGAAAGCCCAGCACTGCCTGCTTCAGCCAGGCCAGGTGCTCCGGGGCATTCCAGTGCCGGTGAGGAAGCAGCCGGCTGCCTCCGGCCTCAGCAAACTCGGTGACAGGCCAGGACAGGTCGCAGAGCTGCTCGGAGGACACCGCAGAGGCCAGGAAGTGCAGCACGCTGTTGAACAGCTCGATGATGGCAGCGGGCTCCTGCGAGGCCAGGCCCCCCAGCCGCCTCTCTCTTCGGTCATGAAAAAATCGGCCACTAAACTCACGGCCAACCCCATCTTCCACATACTGGATGAGGGTCTGGCAGCAAAGGTCAGGGGTACAGGGGCAGCGGGAGACCAGCCACTGCACGGCCTGCGAAACCTGTGGGGGGAGACTCAGTCAGACAAGTAGAACTGCTCCTCAGAAGGCGCCCCCTGAAGGGCCCCACCCACAGCTGCCACCACAGCTGCCTGCAGCAGTGGAGTGTGGCCTCCTCGGGCCCTGGGGACCCACACAGTGGGGACCCTGGCAGAGGGGCTCCGAGTCCCAGCGTGCCCCGACATACAGACAGGGTTCTGGGAAGAACCAATAGCCCCCCATGCGCCCAGACGTGCTCGTGTCCTGTAGCTATCTTTCTTCCTACTGCTACTTTTGTCTTAATCCTGGCACTCCTTTCCCTAAATGTAATTGTCAGCACCGACTTCCTTTTTTAGGGAAACTTCTGATAATGTTATTTCTTCATCTGTTCCAAGGACAAGCACACTACAAAAATAGCTTATATGTCTGACCTTCAGATGGAACACAGAAATGGTCACATTTTAAATCAGTAACAAAACCTCTACAAAAATGACATGAACGATTCGATATTTTTTGTAGACAGCAGGGCTATGCACAAATTTTATCTTTTATTTTGACTTCTGTTTATATTTGTAGGCTACCTTTCAAAAATGAAATTAACGCAGGCAGCAACACTAGCTAAGTTCAAGACAGAGCAAATGGGGGAAAAGCGAAGTCTCAGGCCGGCCCCTTACCTTGTCTGTGCCTTGTAAGTCGTTAATGGAGTCGGGAATCTGCACGACAGTATAATCTGAAATCAGCTTGGCTGAAACCAAGTCCTGGAGCATCAGGCCTTGGAAGAAAACAGAGGGAGGCCAGCTGTCCTGTCTTCTGCTCCTGACCCCGCCCCGCCAGCACGTGCTCAGACCCCAGCCCACGCCTTCACCCACCGTCCTCCACTTGCTGCTGCACAGTGACCCCGCCCAGGCCGGGCACAAGAACTGCAAGCGGCAGCGCGGGCCACAGGGGCTTGGCCTGCAGGAGCTGCTTGAGCTGCAGCAGTGCCGACGGCCAGTACGTGTCCTCCTCCGCCACGTCCTCACTCCTCACTTGGGGGGCCAGCAGCAGCACCAGCCCACGGGCACCCAGGAGCTCCTTCTGGGCCTCCACGGCGTCCAGGTCCCCATCACCGAGCGCACCGTGGACCACCTGGAATGGTACCCAGACCATCAGGACGGACGCACCAGGGACACATCAGCAGGGCACGTGGACCCCAGAGGCAGCGCAGCCAAACCCCCCGCGCTCTGGGCCCGCCCCTCCATGAGCTAGGAACCAAGGCCAGAAATTCAGCGTCCAGCTAGAGCTGTGTCTGGGCGTGAGCCTTTCGTCTCAACCGTTACAAAAGCAGGTCCCACAGTGACAGGGAAGCACGCAAGCCAGCAGGGATTCCAGCCCGCTTCTAGAGCAGCATGGAGACGGGACAACCACTGGCTTGGGGACGCAGAAGAAGCCACACCTAAGGGGCTGCAAATGTGGTGCCGAAGGAACCAGGCCGGCTGAGCCTGCAAAAGCCCAGAGCACCCAGGCCTTGTGGCACCAAGAGCCAGAGACCAGGCTCAGGGCCCAGGGGGACAAGTCACACACAGAGCAAATGGCCCTACAGGTCATCCACCCACGTGCAGGCAGCCTCTGATTATAGATAGCAAGGCTATCTGTCCCCTAGGCAGGGAACAGCCCCATCCTGAGAGGAACCAGACATGGGCATCCGTGAGCATAGTGCAAGGCCCCGGGCAGCCCCCACCTTACCCTGAGGGCACCAGCGGCTGCCCGAGGAGGAGACAAGTCCTGTCCAGAGCAAACGAACAGCCCGGGGCACAGATGCTGCCATTTGGAGGTCCCCCCGAAAGGATGGCTTGCTATTCAGTTACCCTGCACTCCAGCCCAAACACACAGCTTGGGGCCAGCCCTTTAGGGCGTCACTCAGGTGTGGCACACAGCCTCAGGTAAGGTGTCTGAGGACAGCCTCCAACGTAAGAGAACTAGAACAGAGAACAAGAAACCCACAGGACACAGATAATGCACAGAACATAAGAAAACTTAGAAAGATCTCAAAAAATCCTGATTTCCTCAGAGAGATAAGATGATGCCTCCAAAAATAGTCACAAGATATGAAGAAGTCATGGATAGAACAAGGAAATGTATTGTGTGAATGGAACAAAAAATGCAGCAGAACATCTGGAACATAAAGTCAGAGAAATCTCCGAGAACACGATATAAATAATAAGACAAAAAATAGAATAGAAAGGATGAGACGGTCAGAGGATCAACTGATGAGAACCAACATCTGTCTGATACGGGTTCAAGGGAAGGAAAGCACGTGTCGCAAAGATGCAAAAACGTCCCAGAAGCGAAACAAGTCTCCAGCCTGCAAGGGTCTGCCACGCCCAGCACGCCAAGTGCGGGGAGCTGGCACCGACCGGCACAGAGTGGATTTCCAGAACCCTGGGACAGAGAGCAGCCTTCCACAGGTGACAAAGCCAGGCCACAGAGAACGGAGCAGGGAGAGTCCCAGCAGCGATGCTGGATGCTAGGTGACAGTGGAGCCAAACTGGAAGGAAAGTAACGCTCAGCACGTAGATCCCCCACCCCAGCCACAGTGCAGAGCCATGTGGGGGTGACACACGCATGAGGCAAGGACTCAGGGACTCGGGACATTCCTCCTGCTGCGCCCCTTTCTCTGGCAGACACTGGAAGACAAGCCCCGTCAGACGAGAGACTAAGCATCGCCACTCTGTCCACGGCAGCACCGCGCAGCCCCCATCCGTGTCAGGCCCAGCTAAGCCCGGCTAAGCCGTGTAGCCCAGGGCACTTTAAGTTCTCTGACCCTGTTTCTCATCTGAGCCTGTTTCCTCATCGGTGAAGCGGGGATAATAGGTAAGAGTATCCATCCACAGGTGGCACAAAGACACAAGGGATTTGCCCAACTTAACAGAGTTACAGGTGGGCAGCAGGACCCTACCAGCAGGGAGGCTACAGGGCAGCCATACCCAGGGACATACTATCAGCCCAGAGGGGAGCGGGAGGGTGGCACTCGCTCAGAGGCAAGAAGAAGGGGCAGTGACAGCTGGTGGAAAACCCCACGAGGACACATACAGCCCGTCTGGTGGCACACTGGGGTAAACACTGAGATACAGTGACGACTACGTCCGTGAGAAAAGAAGACAACTATCACCCACAAAGAAAACGGAGGCACCTAGTCACAGAACACTTGCTGGTTCTGGGAAAACAGTGGCCACGCGGCCATCCAAACACGACCCCACTAACAGGTAACAAAGTGCTGACGGAGCCACCCCAGGAGGCAGGAGGGCTGGGGGGGAGCGTGGTGTGAGAGGTCACGGCTCCCCCAGATGGCCGCAACTCCATCTCCCAGTCCCGTCCTGAGTGTGGGCTGGGCAGAGTGACTCGCTTCTAAAAGACACAACAGACAAAGTGGCAGGATGTCGCTTCTAAGATCAGGTGGCACAGCTGATGGAAGCTGCCATCTGTGAGCTGCCTGCAGAGGTCCACATGGCAGGGAACCGAGGAGGCCCCTGGCCACAGCCCACAAGGAAGTGAACTCTGCCCACAAGCACGAGGAGCTTGGGGGTGGACCCTCCCCCAGCTGAGCTGTCAGATGAGACCAGCTCCCTGGCTGACCCGATTTCCACCTGGTGAGAAACACTGAGCCAGAGGACCCCGCTAAGCCCCCCTGGACGCTGACCCACAGACACCTGGACACAAGAAACGCTCGTTATCTGAAGCTGCTAAGTTTGGGGGATTTGTTGCGTGCAGGACACCTTCTGGGAAGTTAGTGGAGAACACTGACAGCGGTCAGCCCAGAGTCAGCAGTGGATGCACGTGACGCGGAGACAGGGACCTAAGCCCTGGGGGAGGGGCCCAGAGGCGCGGGCCACTGGTTCTCACTTGCAATCACGGGCACTAGCTGACTTTTCAACTGCATGCCACTGATAGTTTGATTAAAAATTTTAGCAAAGGTAAGAGGAACAACAAACGCTGCGCAGTGGGTGAAGCCTGACTAAGCCCAGGAGAAAGGGGAAGAACATGCACCACGGCGCAGCGAGCCGTGGCCTCCGAGTGGGAGAGCGCGCGTGGCTCTTACGTTCTCACTCTTGCTTCGTATTTCCTTGTATTTAAAGTTTCATACATGTTTCTCCTTCATTTACACAATACAATAAACAGTATTAAAATGGTATTAAAACAAAAGAAATAAAATCCCTATAGCCTGCAATTTGAAGAAGTTCCAAGGATAGAGGAGACATGATTGGAGGGTCACAGGCAGGTGACCGGGGCGTGCCATGAGGTGACCTGGAGAGGAACAGGAGCTGGGGGAGCGCCCTCCTGAGCCAGCCACCTGGCCAGGCCGGGGCGATGCTCAGCACACACGGGGGCTCCACGCCCAGGATCAAGGAGCTGGCCGGAGCAGCGGCAATCCACGCCTGTCTGTCAGCACCGAAGCCCAGCCTTCCGCCCTGTACTGCTCATTTCCAAGTAAAGAAGAGACACATCTGGTTTGACTTCGAGACACTTACACTGACATCTAAAATCCACTTATGCAGGTTCTAATCTAATGAGGAAACAGGTTCTAGTTAGAAACCTCTCAGGGAACCACTTGGGGTCGGTATTGTATGAACACCTAGAGAACAAAAATTAGAACCTGTAACGGAACCCTGAGGACAACCTGAATGGAAAGCAGAAACAACTGATCGGAAGTGTCCAATACTGGACCTACGTAGGAGCTGGGGCCCAGTTTAGTGAAAAGCGCATAGATTAAAA